GCCCCTGCCACACCCTCCCTGCACAGAGAGGCCGGCAGCGCGTGGTGGTGAGCCCACACTCTGCGAGGCTGGCCCACACGGGCAGATTCTAGCCCCGCGTCTGGAGACCCCTGCGTGTCTGGGTGCACGGGCTCACGATGGGGGCTGGCCGACACTGGGGAGGCTCGTGGCGCTAAGGCCCTATCAGGAGGCTGGCTGCCTGCCTGCCTCCCTGGCTTGCTTGCAGGAGAAAGAAACACCCCTCGGGGTGACTGGCTCGCTACCCATAGAAAGCCTAGACCAGGCCACAGGCAGGCACAGTGACTCCAGACCCGGGTGCTGCTCCCGGGAGACGCCCACATGTCAGGGAAGTTTGGGTCTGTGTTTTCAGTGGGGTGAGACATCTGTGAACGAGTGACCGAGTGTGCCCCCTAGAGAGGAGAAGGAACACTGGTGGGTCAGGGTAAGGCAGAGGGGCTGGGGTGGGGCCAGGTCTGGCCGAGGGAGTCCCAAACATGTTACTTACAGGACGCTTGGGCAAAGAACTGTCCGGGAGCAGATGGGCCAGAGCAGGAACCAGAGTGGAGCACACGGTGCTGTCGGAACCACAGGGGTGACTGTGGCCACAGCAGGGTCCGGAAGGATCTGGAAGCCTGAGCCAAGCGAGAACTGAAAGGCTCAAGAAGCGACAGGGGACACCCTGCTCTAGCACCGCAGGCCGTGAGGCTGGCAGGTGGGACTTCCTCAGAAATGAGGGGGACCCTTCCTGGGGGCCGGAGGGTCGGGGGCAAGCCCTCGGCCTTGGAGCCAGCAGGCAGCACCTGAGGGGAAGTGGTCCTGGTGGGGTGGAGTCCTAGCCCCACAAGGCAGCTCCGGGAGGACCAGGGGCAGCGGGGCAGGGCCTGTGCGAGGTCCATGGAGGCTCTCCGCACACCGTGCTGGAGCTGGACTCTCGAACCAGGAGAGAGTGCTTGGTGTGAACAGATCAGGAAAAGCGGGCCCGCCTGGAGCTGGAGGCAGACAGGCTCACGGGGCCCTGGGCAGCATCTCACTCAAGTGGAGCCAGCCTGTGCAGTGGGTCTGGGCCCACCGGACGCTACTCTCCCCAGGGAGACACACCTGTTCTGTGCCCAAGGCCAGTGAGGGCGGCTTTTGCCACCCAAGAAAGGTCTGACCCACCCCCGGAAACCTTGCCTGGCCTCATGTGCCGTGAAGCTGACCTTCTCAGGATCCCTGGGCACGGGCCTGCCTGTCACCTTTGGTCAGGGCGAGCAGGAGACAGGGCTGTCAGAAGAAACAGAAGGGTTGGCAAAAGCTTTCTGCCCAAACTGCCCAGGCACCCTCTGCTTAGAGGTCCACCAAGGCCCTCGGGACAGTCACCCCACTGGTGGTGAGTGGCCTACCACCAGCACCGCAGAGCTGTGGAGCTGAGGGCGGGCCAGGCAGGGGCTCTGCGGGCTGAGACTTCCCATCTGTCTGATGGTGGGGGCTGAGCAGGTGGCAGGGCAGGGGACTGAGGCAGTCCACTCGTGTCCTCTGCTCCCTCTAAGCAGAGGGTGCCTGGGCAGTTTGGGCAGAAAGCTTTTGCCGACCCTTCTGTTTCTTCTGACAGCCCTGTCTCCTGCTCGCCCTGACCAAAGGTGACAGGCAGGCCCGTGCCCAGGGATCCTGAGAAGGTCAGCTTCACGGCACATGAAGCCAGGCAAGGTGTCCGGGGGTGGGTCAGACCTTTCTCGGGTGGCAAAGGCCGCCCTCACTGGCCTTGGGCACAGAACAGGTGTGTCTCCCTGGGGAGAGTAGAGTCCGGTGGGCTCAGACCCACTGCATGGGCTGATTCCACTCGAGTGAGACGCTGCCCAAGCCCTCCTCAGCTGGCAACCACCACGGCCACTACCAAGGGAGCACTGCCCGACCCACAGCCACAGGCATGACGGGACCTCAGCTGCCCCATGAGGCTGGGACTGCCTCCCTCCTACGGGGCAGCACAGGTGTGCAGAGGGGTGTGAGGCCTGCCTGGGATGCAGGGATGGGGGAGAGGCAGCTCAGGGTGCAGGGGTAGGGCAGGGCTACCCAGGGCTCCGGTTTGGGGAGAACACCGTGGGCAGAGGGTGGACTGTCCATGCTCAGAAGATACCAAAGCACCCTATGCAGCTGTGTGGCCGATGACCCCCACCGCTGGCCCAGAAGGTGCCTCTGAGGGTACATGGCTCCCGACCCTGGGATGTCGCCCTTGCGAGCAGGACTCCTGGTGTAGGGACAGCCCCCAGGCCCCTGGGCAGAGAGGTTCTGAGGCTCTGAGCAGGGGTTTGCAGAGCCGAGGACCAGACACCAGCGCCTCAGCATGCCCACCCGTGGCATGGCCATCAGCCTTCTGGGGTCCCCTGAGGAGGAAAGGAGCAAATGTCTACACAGGCAGCTCAAACACTGCCCTGTACCAGACCTTCACCGCACCGGCCACACTGCCCGCAAGAAACGTCACCAATCAAGAGACGCTCCTGGGTCGACATAGGGGCTGCCCCCATCCAGAAGCCCCATACTTTCCAAGGCAGCTCCGTGGGCAGGAAAAGGCACATGTGACCCCCAAGGTGCCACACAGACAGCATGCCGGGCCAGCCTGGTGGGCCGGGCCAGCCTGGTGGGTGGTGGAGCATGTGCCCTTAGGGCTGGGGGTGCGGCCTCTCCTCTCAGCCATCCCCCATGATGGCACCTTCTGCTTGCTGAGCTGCTCTGGGCCTCGGGACTCCCAGGACACCCATGAATCAGACCGACTTACAGGCTCCAGTGAGGGCAGGGAAATCTGAGTGGGAACGACAAGAGAAGTAGGGAACCCCACAGCTGGTGAGTGGGGGAACACACCACTTCAGATGGGTCCAAAGTGCCATGTGCAGAGAGACAGGGAGATAGCACACGTCGGCGAGAACAGCAGGTACGGAGGATTCTAAGTGGCTGATGGATGTGCAGGGGAGGAGCTGAGGAAGTGTGGCAGAAGAACTGAGGAAGTGCAGGGGGAAGAGGTGAGGAAATGCAGGGGGAAGAGGTGAGGAAGTACAGGGGGAAGAACTGAGGAAGTGCAGGGGGAAAAGCTGAGGATGTGCAGGGGGAAGAGCTGAGGAAGTGCAGGGGGAAGAGCTGAGGAAGTGCAGGGGGAAGAGCTGAGGAAGTGCAGGGGGAAGAGCTGAGGAAGTGCAGGGGGAAGAGCTGAGGAAGTGCAGGGGGAAGAGCTGAGGAAGTGCAGGGGGAAGAGCTGAGGAAGTGCAGGGGGAAGAGCTGAGGAAGTGCAGGGGGAAGAGCTGAGGAAGTGCAGGGGGAAGAGCTGAGGAAGTGCAGGGGGAAGAGCTGAGGAAGTGCAGGGGGAAGAGCTGAGGAAGTGCAGGGGGAAGAGCTGAGGAAGTGCAGGGGGAAGAGCTGAGGAAGTGCAGGGGGAAGAGCTGAGGAAGTGCAGGGGGAAGAGCTGAGGAAGTGCAGGGGGAAGAGCTGAGGAAGTGCAGGGGGAAGAGCTGAGGAAGTGCAGGGGGAAGAGCTGAGGAAGTGCAGGGGGAAGAGCTGAGGAAGTGCAGGGGGAAGAGCTGAGGAAGTGCAGGGGGAAGAGCTGAGGAAGTGCAGGGGGAAGAGCTGAGGAAGTGCAGGGGGAAGAGCTGAGGAAGTGCAGGGGGAAGAGCTGAGGAAGTGCAGGGGGAAGAGCTGAGGAAGTGCAGGGGGAAGAGCTGAGGAAGTGCAGGGGGAAGAGCTGAGGAAGTGCAGGGGGAAGAGCTGAGGAAGTGCAGGGGGAAGAGCTGAGGAAGTGCAGGGGGAAGAGCTGAGGAAGTGCAGGGGGAAGAGCTGAGGAAGTGCAGGGGGAAGAGCTGAGGAAGTGCAGGGGGAAGAGCTGAGGAAGTGCAGGGGGAAGAGCTGAGGAAGTGCAGGGGGAAGAGGTGAGGAAGTACAGGGAGGAAAGAGGTGAGGAAGTGCAGGAAGAGGAGGTGAGGAAGTACAGAAGGAAGAGCTGCTGAGGATATGCAGGGGGAAGAGCTGCGGAAGTGCATGAGGAAGAGGTGAGGAAGTGTTAGAGGAAGGTGAGAATGTGCAAGAGGAAGAGCTGAGGAAGTGCTGGAGGAAAAGGTAAGTGCAGAGGAAGAGGCGAGGAAGTGCAGGGGGAAGAGGTGAGGAAGTGCAGGGGAAGAGCAGAGGAAGTGCAGGAGGAAAAGTGAGGCAGTGCCTGCCTGTGCAGGGCCCTGAGGCCAAGTTTAGGGCTCTATCTGCCTCTCCCAGCAGGGGCGCAGGTGGGCAGACCTGGGTGTCAGGTGTACCCAGCTCATAGCAGCGTAGGGCTTAGCCAGGGCTCAGCCAATACAAGGCAGAAAACTGTCCTGGGCTCCCGTCCAGCACAGGGTAGAGGCTGTGCCTGCCCCAGAGACCAGGCCACCACACCCACCACAGCGCTGGGTGGGACCAGATGCCTGGGGCTACAACACCTGAGCTTGCAGGGGCCCACTTGTCCACCCATTGGCCTAGACACAAAGCCGAAAGCCTGCACGCCTGCCCAGGGCCAGCTCCGCAGCCCCTTCAGGGACCTGCATGGTGCTCAGCCTGATGGGGCATCCCGGGGACCAGGCCAGCCGACCGGTTCCCCACTGGAGCGGGCACAGCTCTACCCGGCAGGGCCCCAAGGGCTGCGCCGGCGTGTTCCCCTGCCAGCCGCCCCCCGCCCACCCCACTGCCGGCTCCGACACAAGTTCGCTTCCCACTCGGCTCTACAGACGTCGCCGGGGCTAACCCACGAGCAGGCCACCGCGGTCACCGGGAGGGCGAGGGCTAGAAGCCCGCGGGCCAGGGGAGCAGGAGCCCCGAGTGCCCGTCATCACCGCCGCCCTGCAGCCAGCCCCTCGGCCCCGGGCGCGCGGACCGGACGCAGTGACATTCCGACGGCAGAAACGCAATCGCAGAGGGCCGCCAGCCCCGTCCCGGGCCCCCGCCTACCTCCAGGGCCTCCAGCGTGCTGAAGCTGGCGATGGCGAAGCCGTCGATGACCTCCTCCTCCTGCGAGCTGGACTCGCGGCGGCGACGGCGCGGGGGCCGTGCGGGGGCGGCTCGGGAGGGCGCGCCGCGCAGCCCCGCGTTCTCCTTGCCGG